TGCATTGTGATAACCAGGCAGCCATTCATATTGCTTCAAACTCAGTATTTCATGAAAGGACAAAGCATATTGAAGTGGATTGCCACAAAGTGAGACAAGCCGTGGAGCAGAAGATTATCCTACCTTGCTACACTAGAAGTGAAGACCAGTTGGCTGATATCTTTACCAAAGGAGCAAGTAGTAAAGTCTGTGAGTTCATCCATCCGAGATTAGGACTCATACACCTTGATAGATCATGATCTCCTTAAGCCATGAAGCATCTACTCTTTTTCCTTTGTGTGGTTTTGTCCCATTGGGTTTTTCTATGCAAAAGGTTTTAACGAGGGATGTTTTCATGGTTCCAAGCTTTACCATAAGGCATGGCAAAGCTTGAGGGGGAGTATTGAGTTAAATAAATAAATAAGTTAGTTATGTATTCTAGCTTCTCTAGTAAGCCAAGGGTGTTTGGTTACTAGAATAAGATTATTCTCTTTCTTTATAACTGATTGTAACGTTACTTTTCAGATCCAAGGAAAAAGTTTCTCCTTCTTTACTCTTTTCTCTCATCTCTCTCTTGTTCTTCATTCTCAAAGCTTCACTTTCTAACACTTGGCTCCACGTCGAACTTCTTACAGAAAGGAACCCAAGTTTTAGCAAACTCAGCTGCCTCCGCGAGAGCATAGAACGTGAGCTCAGAGCCACCGTCATCCGAGAGATACACGGCGAGTTTCTCCGGTGGGTAGTCGAGAGCCATCACGGATAAGACTGTGTTGACAACCATCAACGACGGCTCAATCACCGGATCCGCCGTGCAAACGAAAACGTCGAGTCTTGGGAGATCGTTACCGTACCTCCGGGAGAGTCTGTCGGTGAAGGTGAATCGCCAAACCGGATTCCACCGGAGAGATTGCACCACTACCCAATACAAACCGAACCAAATCTCCATGACAAACATAACCGACCAGATTAATCGAACCATACCGGACCGGTTTTCATCAATCTCTATCGGTACGGTAACTCTGTAGAGCCAAATACAGCAGATACAAAAGAAAACCGAGGCTGAGAAAACACGGTACGCTATAAGTCTTCCAGTTTTCCTCCTGGTGACAAAAAGCGGTTCCCCTTCGTGAACCGGTATAAACTGGGCGTCTTCCTTTCTCATCTTTTTTTTTCTCTTAGCCTCTTGAGTGGGAAGTGATAAAGACAAGAGAGAAACGTCACTTCTTGGTTTATGTAGCGTGGTTAGTGGAGGCTGTAAGCTTGGACAATTCAAAAGAAAAACATTCTAAGACGTCACTCCAACCGTCAGCAATTCTGTTTCATTTTTCAGACAGAACATATCAGATAGAGTCCAGTAATAAAAGATAAAGGATGGGCTGATGTTTAGCAAATGGATGGCTGTGAACTTATGACTTATGCACAGTCAAGGGTAACAATATTAATTTCTATTTGCAAATGGATGTATATAATATATAGGATAAAATTTTCTATAATATGTATTACATAAAAGCTGGCAATTATTTTGAATACACTGAAAGTCTCTTTTTCCTTACAGAAACACAATAAAAGTGCAAGCAGATAAAACTAAGACAACTGATTTAACTGTCACGATCAATGGCATCTTCCCTTTGTCTTTCCTCAACAGCATGCCTTCGTATAAAGGCCAGTTTAGTAACACAAGTACTCCTGTCATAACAAACTGCAAACCCATTGTCTGCAACTCTCCACCGTCTCTATAGGTCATCAGTCTCATAACCGCTGCGGCAAAGCTGAAAAGATTGAGCATGCCGAGTGTTCCGAGAACGAGAAACAGCGGAGACTCCACACCAAACTCCATTACCTCTTTCTCGTATCTCTCTGCTGCTTCTTCTTCTGCTACTTTCGCTGTGAGCACAAACCCAGACTCAGAAACCCCAAGTTTCTTCAGAATTGTGTCTGTGAATCCGAAAAGAAACGAACTTGTTCTTCTATAAAGCCACATCCTTTGCTCGTTCCACCATCCACGGAACGTTCCTCCAACCCACAAGAACTCGGCTAGGCTGTAAGCATTAACTGCGACAGTCACGTATCCAAACGGAATAAACCACGAGCTCCAGACCTGAATTCAAAAACAAGATCAGTTTTACCAAAGGAATAAATTCAAAACAAGACAAAAAAAACAAAGGAAATCTCTCACCTTCGGAAACAGAGGAATGCCTTTGAAGAGACAGAGAGAAACCAAAACAGAGTAAACAAGAAGAGGTACTGAACTTGGAGCCCAGAGACAATAGCAACAATAACCAAGAATCAATCCTAAACCGATCTTCCCTTGAGCATACCAAACCGGACTATACTCAGAAAGCAGAATCTGAAAGTCTCCCTCTGACCATCTCCTCTGCTGCACTAACTTTTGATGCAAATTGGTTGGGGCTACCCCTACAAAAGCTTTCTTTTTAGGAGTCAGATACGCCGACTTCCATCCGCGGCATTGAATGGCTAAACCGGTAAGTACATTCTCCACCGAGCATCCGTATATCACACCCATCTGCCATAGAAAAAAAAAGGGTTTACTTCCAGGACAAGTAACAAACTGAGCAAGTGAAATCTTATTAATTACTGCCTTACATCCTTTCCCCATTGAGAGCCTTTTTCATATGTGCACCTCGCAAGAGTCTTGATCATCTCAGGCTCTACAATTTCATCAGACTTCTCGTCTTCATCTCCATATTTTCTTCCACAGATAGCATCTCTTCTGTGAAAACAGCCTGTCCCAACGTATATCGGTCCTCCATTTCCATCCAATCCCTTAAACTCCACCTTTTTCACATCACAGGAGGTTAGTTAATATAAAGACCCAGACTACGCAGTCTCTCTCGGTAGAACTTACATCCGCTAGTACTCGCATCATGCTTCCATACAAATCATTCCTTGTAATATTTTCATAAGACTGTGGGTATTGCACGAAAGCAATCTCTCTTCCTTCTTTCTCATCAAGTAGGATGCAGAGTGCTTCGAGTGCTGACTTTGGGTTGTTTGAGTACATATCACAGTCCACGTTTAGTATGATTCTTCCACAGGTGATCTTCGAAGACACCCTTAACTGTTAAGAGAAACAACCTCATCAAAATGAATTAAATCAGTGTCCTCCTATATTGGGAAATATTAAATATTGACTTGTGAAACAAGAAAGTATTACCAATGCATTCATGGATCCAGCCTTGAAGTGATGATGATGCTCAGGTCTCTTCTCCCTCGATAGGTACACCAACGTTGTGTTCTCTCTTTGCCCATCTATCAAAATCTGATTAAACTAATAAAGTTTAAAAGTCTGCATGCAATTACAGAACATAACTTAAAAAAGCTACGTTACTTGAAGAATGGTTGCGTGGTTTCTCTGAGTGGCATCTGAATCCCACTGCGAAAACCCTTCACTGTACTTCAACCGCGCCTCCTCCGGTACTCGCCGCAGTTTCGTTTCCGTTTCAATCCTATCCGCCATCTCTCGATACAACTCAGCCACCTCTGCCGCAGCAGCAGATACAAGACCATTTGACTTGGAAGAAAAGTAAGCTCTTGGAGATCTTGGCTCCACGTCGAATCTCTTACAGAACGGAACCCAAGTTCTAGAAAACTCAGCTGCCTCCGCGAGAGCATAAAACGTGAGCTCAGATCCACCGTCGTCTGAGAGATACACGGCGAGTTTCTCAGGAGGGTAGTCCAGGGCCATCACAGATAAGAACGTGTTGACAACCATCAACGGCGACTCAATCACCGGATCTGCCGTGCAAACGAAAACGTCGAGCCTTGGGAGATCGTTACCGTATCTCCGGTAGAGTCTATCGGTGAAGGTGGATCGCGAAACCGGATTCCAACGGAGAGACTGTACGAGTAACCAATACAAACCGAACCAAATCTCTAAACTTAGCATAACCAACCAGATAAATCGAAAGAAACCGGTCCGGTTCTCAACAATCTCAAACGGTACGGTCACTCTGTAGAACCAAATACAACAGAGGCACCCGAAAACCGAGGCTGCGTAAACCCGAAACGCAACCTGTCCTCCGGTTCTCCTCCTGGTCGTAAAAAGCGGCTCGAGGTCGCCTTCTTGAGCCGGTCTAAACCGGTCGTCTTCTTTTCCCATTTTGTTTTGTTTGTTTTCTCTGAAGCGGCGTCAGGTGGGAACAAGGATAAGAGAAATCTCTCTCTCTCCTCTCTCTCTCTATCTTGTAGGTTTAGAGTGAGAGAACCATATGTTAGAGGATTGACACTGTAAGTGGAATCTGACGTTGTAACAACAATTTAAAACATACTAGATTATAAACCCGCACATCCGGTAATTTTTTCATCTTATAAAAATATAACAAAATCTTTCAGATATATGATTTACATTTTATTGTTATATATTGTATAGCTATATCATCTTATTATTTTCATTATTTTTATATAATATATTGTTGTAAGTTTTTAAAAATATCATATATATATATATTTTTAGATAATGTATTTGTTGTGAGTTACAAAAATATATGTTAAAATTTTTTTGTATAAAAATATTACATGATTTAAAAAGATTTATATGTTTTAACAGTGGATAAAATAAAATATTTTTCTTTACCAATTTAATCTATATTATTAAAACAAAAGTCATTTTTTAAAGTGTCATTTTTTGCAAATATTTACAACCAAATTCCACTGCATTATTTTTCAAGATATAGTTTATATCAAAGCAGTTTTACCCAAGTAAAGTGGTTTTGACCCGATTTTGATAAATAGACAAAATCTTATTAGTCCAACCGTCCAGATTTTTCTCTCCGATATTTAATTCATATTTTCAACATTTACTGTTGTTTAGTTGTTATATAAAATTCTTAATATTCTATATATCTCATTTCATTGCCTCTTTTGTATAAAACCTATATAATATTCAGTTAATGGTTTTTTAAACCTTATTTCATTATTTTTATACTTCAAATATAACCTAATGTTTATATTCATCATAACCTTTTTTTTACATTATTTTCATGTGCATTGCTTCGCCATATTTATATATTTAAATAAAACATACTGCTATTTGTATACAAAATTCCATTAACACACATTAACTGAATTTCAAGTTTTTAAATATAATTTAGTCAGATCAAACTGGTATTAATTAGTAATATATTATTCTTATCTACTAACTACTAACGTAAATCTCTAACAAATCTATTGTTATTACAAAAAAATTGAGAATAATATACGTAGGGATAAATATCTATTTACTGATTTTAATTGTATATCTTTTTTTAAACAAAAAGTTGGATATTCTTTGTATATCCCATTTACTGATAAGTTTTATTGTTTATTTATAAAATCAATAATATAATAGATTTTACCCGACGATAAAATCTGTTTTTCTGTGATATCATAATATATTCTACTATGTCAAATAACCATATATTTAAAGTACCTTGATTGAATTTTATGTAAGTATCAAAAGGGATATACACTTTATTAAACTGTTAAATCATTATAAACTTTATAAAAATATTTTGATACAATAATATAAAGAGAGTAACAAATTTACCCATTTAGTAATATACCTTTGTTAGAAAATAAGAAATAAATAACTATTTAAGATAAACTATACAACTAGGTAACATATTAAGAATATTTGTTCTTAATAGAATCATTTTAAGATATTTCTTCTTTTCTCAATTATCCTCATCATTATGAGGAAATTTACATACAAATAAAGATGGAAACAATTTTAATCGTATCCGAATATAATTGGTGATCTCAAATTAAAAATCTAATCAAATGAATATCGCTCGGATTATGTGGGTATATCAAAATTGTAACAATTCATATTGATTTAAATGAATATTGTCTTTTAATTTGAAATAAAAATAAATAGAAAAAGATATTGTTTTATTTATAAATTCCAAATCATTATTTTCACATACCATATATAACTACAATTATCATTATCATTTATGCATTGTATATGGGTCACAAATTCATTTTGATATATATATATGGGAATATGCTATAATTTCTTTAATATGGTCATTTCCTACGGGTCACAAAATATTTATCAAGTATAAACAGGTTAAACAGATATATTTGTCATTTTTATTATAAACTAACAAACGGATTAATAGTTTTATTAACAAAAAAGAAATCCCGTCTTTCAAAGCGCGGGTCAAAATCTACAATAAGATAACTTCCCGAGATCGCTCATCTCGAATTTAGTAGACATCTCCTTCTTAAACTCGTTGATCATATCAATACTTGTACCCGTAACAAACAAGTCGTCTATATAAATTGCAAGAAGTAATAGTACTCCATTTTCTTCCCTCCGGTGAACAGAAGGTTTTTTCACATTTTGTAAACTGTAACTTTTTCAAGATCTAGTTAAGCTTATTTTTCCAAGCTCTTGGTGCCTGTCGGACTCCATACAGAGCCTTCTTTAACTTGTAAAACTTACCTTCAGATCCCTTGACTATGAAACCCTGAGGTTGCATGACATATACGTTCTCCTTCAATTCTCCATGAAGGAAGGCTGTCTTGACGTCGAGATAATGAATCTCCCAACCTCTTGAAGCTGCTAGACTGATGAGAATTCGTATTGTTTATATACGTGCTACAGGCGCAAAGACTTCATCAAAATCTATACCATACTCTTGAACGTATCCTTTTGCCACAAGCCGAGCTTTGTACTTGTTAATGCTGCCATCTGCGTTTCTTTTTAGCTTAAAGACCCACTTCAAGCCAATGGTTTTAACTCCCCATGGAAGGTCTACGAGTTTCCAAGTTCCATTTTTCACTATGGATTGTATTTCTTCTTCACAAGCTTTGATCCATACATCTATCTCTTGCGCCTCTTGAAAGTTTCTTGGCTCATGATTGATCAAGTTAAGAAGTAGCTCTCCCTCTTCTTCCTCAATAAGAAAAATATAATCATCAAGATACCTAGGAGTGAATACTTGCCTCTAAGATCGTCTTAAAACTGGAGGTACATCTTCTAGGTCTTCCTCATTCTCATCATCCATCTGTTGAGTTATTAGCTTTCTTTCACTGGTCTCTTATTCATCATTTTCATTACTTTCATCAGGATCATCCTCTTGCATTCCGTGATTCTCAAAATCTCCAAGGGTAATCTTAAAACTTCCTACTATGTTTTCTTCATTATGATTCTCACTCCAGTTCCATCCCTTTGTTTCATTGAATACTACATTATGGCTCACCACAATCTTATGTGTCTTAGGTTCAGACATACGGTATGCCTTTGAATCAGGTTCCATGCCAAGGTGGATTAGTATCCTTGTTATGTCATCAAACTTTCTCAAATGTGGTGTCTCAACCTTCGTGTATCCAATGCAATCGAAGACACGTAAGTGACTTATGCCGGGATTTTTTCCTTTGAATGCTTCATACGGGGTCTTGTCTTTCAGTGATCTTGTCCCAAACCTGTTCAAGAGAGAGGGAGAATTTCGTGTTGCTTCACCCCACATAAAGTTCGGAATTCTCATGTCTTTTAAGATGCTTCTGAGCATCTCCATCAATGTCCTGTTACGTCTTTCCACTACCCCATTTTGTTGTGGAGTGTATGGAGCGGTAAGATGCCTCTTGATTCCCAAACTCTCATAGAAAGAATTGAATTCATCAGACACAAACTCACCACCTCTATCAGTTCTAAAGGTATGTATCTTTGTTCCAGAATCTTGTTCTACTATCTCCTTGAAGTTCTTGAACTTAGTAAAAGCCTCACTTTTTTCTTTGAGTAATATTGACCACATGTATCTCGAATGGTCATCTACAAGAACAAAGATATACATGTTTCCAGCAGCTGTATTGGGTGTAATGGGACCACACAAGTCACCGTGTACAAGCTCCAAAGTCTTCGTTGCTCGATATGATGTTGCCTTTGGAAACCTTATTTATTTATAACGCAAGATTCATCCTAATAACCCAAACAGTGTAATTGCAAGAAGTTAGCAGCAGACACTTTATCATAGATCATGTAATATCTTTCATCTTACGTTTGCATGAACGATCTCTCCCATCTTTCAGGCTCTGATACCAAATATAGAACTCAAACTTTATGAATCGACACAAGATCAAGTATAAAGAATAACTTTCTTTATTAATGTTTAAGAAACTAATTCAAAACTTAAGCTCTTAATCTCTCACAACTCATAAGTTATGTAACACACTTGCATCTTTTTATATAGAAATTATTAATTCCTAAACCTAATAGGAAATACATCTAAATAACTACTAAACATATTATAAATTATATTTTCCATAAATCGGTAAATTTCGAATAATTACTTATAACTCAAATAATCTTCAAGCTTAATCCAAAAGAATTAGGGATCCAATACTCAATTTTTTTTGGAGATACCATAGAGATGATCTAGAAAATTTTTTAACTCGACGCACAATATTAAAAGGAAAAAAAGATAATGAATAGTCAAAAGTAACAAAATTAACTTTTCTAATCTAATCTTGGGGAGTGCTAAATCAAATCAAGATTTACCATGAGTGATGTAGCGGAAGCTTCTAGGGATAGAACTAGATCCGTTAATTCTAAGAATATCCGGAAACTAGGGTTTGTGAATACTCTTCACAGTGCTTAATTAAAAGCTCTTAGGATTTGAGAATACTCTTCTCACTGTTTTATAGAAACCTCTTTAGGAACAGACTTTTATTTATCAAATCATCATAAAAACTGTTGAATACAACTCTAGGCGTACAAGCCTATTTATATGAAAATACAAAAGCCATAAAACCCTAATCTTAATCGAAATAGGAAAACTATTAAAATATTAAGATATTCTAAATAATTAAGATAAATATAAAAATAACTGATAAACTAAATAATTAAGATATTTGGATATATTCCAAATATCTATCTCCATCAATGAGCACTTTATGTTGCGGAGATGGTGGTTTCATTATTGAAGGATCTTGAAGAACACTGAGATACTAATGCACTAACAAACAAGATGAACGCAGACTTGCCAAGAATGTATTTGTAAATGGGAATATATGAAGCATACAAAGAAACAAGAAGACTCTCTCTCAAATGGATGTATATATCTATATATAACAGCTGGCATTTATTTTGAACTCTTTTTCCTTACAGAAACACAATACAAGTGCAAGCAGATAAAGCTAAGACAACTGATTTAACTGTCACGATCAATGGCATCTTCCCTTTGTCTTTCCTCAACAGCATGCCTTCGTATAAAGGCCAGTTTATCACCACAAGCACTCCTGTTATCACAAACTGCAAACCCATTGACTGTAAATCTCCTCCAGCCTCTCTAGAAGTCATCACCAGTCTCATAATCGCTGCAGCAAAGCAGAAAAGATTGAGCATGCTGAGTGTTCCGAGGACGAGAAACATCGGAGACTCCACACCAAACTCCATTACCTCTTTCTCGTATCTCTCTGCTGCTTCTTCTTCTGCTACTTTCGCTGTGAGCACAAACCCAGACTCAGAAACCCCAAGTTTCTTCAGAATTGTGTCCGTGAATCCAAAAAGGAACGAACTTGTTCTTCTGTAAAGCCACATCCTTTGCTCGTTCCACCATCCACGTAAAGTTCCTCCAACCCACAAGAACTCGACTAGGCTGTAAGCATTAACTGCAACAGTCACGTATCCAAACGGAATAAACCACGAGCTCCAGACCTGGATTCAAAAACAAGATCAGTTTTACGAAATTTTTTTTTAAAAAAATCAAAACAAGACAAAAAGCAGAGGAAAGCTATTCACCTTTGGAAACAGAGGGATGCCTTTGAGAAGACAGAGAGAAGTCAAAACAGAGTAAACAAGAAGAGGTACTGAACTTGGGGCCCAGAGACAATAGCAACAATAACCAAGAATCAAGCCTAAACCGATCTTCCCTTGGGCATACCAAACCGGACTATACTCTGAAAGCAGGATCTGAAAGTCACCCTCCGACCATCTCCTCTGCTGCACAAGCATTTGATGCAAATTGGTCGGCGCAACCCCAAGAAAAGCTTCCTTTTTAGGGGTCAGGTACGCAGACTTCCATCCGCGGCATTGAATCGCTAAACCGGTGATTACATCCTCTACTGGGCAACCGTATTTCACACCAATCTGCCATGATAACAATGCTTACTTGGGGTACAAGAAACAGCCTGAGTAAGTTAAAACTCTTTATTAATCACTACCTTACCTCCTTTCCCCATTGAGAGTCTTTTTCATATGTGCAGCTCGCAAGAGTCTTGATCATCTCAGGCTCTACAATTTCTTGAATTTTATCAGATTCTTCTTCTTCTCCATCCTTTCTTCCACAGATCACATCTCTCTTGTGAAAGCAGCCAGTCCCAATGTATAACGGTCCGCCGTTTCCATCCAATCCATTAAAGTCCACCTTTTTTTCACATCCCAAAAGGTTAGTTACCAATATATTAAAGATCCAGAATCTGCAGTCTCTCTCTATAGAACTTACATTCGCTATTACTCTCATCATGCTTCCATACAAATCATTCCTTGTAAGATTCTCATAACACTGTGGAAACTGCACGAAAGCAATTTCTTTTCCTTCTTTCTCATCAAGTAGGATGCAGAGGGCTTCGCGTGCAGACTTTGGGTTGTTTGAGTACATATCACAATCCAAGTTTAGTATGATTCTCCCACAAGTTATCTTCGAAGAAACCCTAATCTGTCAGAGAAACAAACCCATCAAATGAATTAAAGCAATGTCCTATTGGAGGATCGTTATAATAAGACTTGTGGAACAAAAAAAGCATTACCAACGCGTTCATGGATCCAGCTTTGAAGTGATGATGATGCTCAGGTCTTTTCTCTCTAGACAGATACACCAACGTTGGTACCGTTACTGTATTCTTCTTTCTTCCGTCTACCAAAATCTGAGCATGAAACAAATAAAGAAACAAGTTAGATTCAGTTCTTTCCGTTGCTGGAAGTGATAGTCTTACAGTAAGACTCTTACTTGCAGAATGGTTGCGTGGTTTCTTTGAGTTGCGTCTGAATCCCACTGCGAAAACCCTTCAATGTACTTCAACCGCGCCTCCTCCGGTACTCGCCGCAGTTTGGTCGCCGTTTCAATCCTATCCGCCATCTCTCGATACAACTCAGCCACCTCCTCCGCCGCAGCAAAACCAAGACCATTTGACTTGGAAGAAAAGTAAGCAGCTGGAGATCTCGGCTCCACGTCGAACTTCTTACAGAAAGGAACCCATGTTTTAGTAAACTCAGCTGCCTCCGTAAGAGCATAGAACGTGAGCTCAGAGCCACCGTCGTCCGAGAGATACACGGCTAGTTTCTCCGGTGGGTAGTCGAGAGCCGTCACGGACAAGACTGTGTTGACCACCATCAACGGCGGCTCGATCACCGGATCCGCCGTGCAAACGAATATGTCGAGCCTTGGCAGATCGTTACCGTATCTCCGGGAGAGACGCTCGGTGAAGGTTGATCGCCAAACCGGATTCCAACGGAGAGATTGTACCACTACCCAATACAAACCGAACCAAATCTCCAAAATTAGCATAACCAACCAGATAAACCGAAAGAAACCGGTCTTGTTCTCATCGATCTCTAACGGTACGGTTACTCTGTAGAACCAAATACAACAGATGCACGCAAAAACCGAGGCTGCGAAAGCCCGAAACGCGATCAGTCCTCCGGTTCTTCTCCTGGTCGCAAAAAGCGGTTCATAGTGGCCTTCTTGAGCCGGTCTAAACCGGTCATCATCTTTTGCCATTTTTGTTTCTGTTTCTCTGAGGCGGCGCCAAGTGGGAAGGATAAGAAATATATCTCTCTCGTGAGTTAAGTGTTAGAGATGGTTATGTAGATGTTAGTGGAGTTGCAGCAGGTATAACTTTTGGAGATAGTCAAAGAGGAACGTGGATATCGAGGTCTTCCCTAACCTCACTGGAATCGTCAGCTGTATTTCTTCTTTAGGCAAATGGTGACAGGTAGGCGTCAATTATCAAGATTAGACATCTTAAAAGCCAAGTTGTTATAAAGTATGTAATGACTGCTTTGAGGCGGCCGCCAAAAGGGAACAAAAGAATAATATAAAATGCTTAAGCTAATGTTTTCTTGGCACATGGTTGGTGATGATAAGGTCGAGTACACCGATCCATACATGGTTCTATTGAAGATCACACTGATAAAACTTGCAATAATAGACTTCTAGAAGTGTTTTGCCCATTAACAATCAGATTTTGTAGCCCATCTATGTGAAAACATATGTTAAAATGAACCATATGAAGCAGACAGAGCAAGAAGAATTTTAGAGCACCGCCATTGAGAGTTCAAATGGGGGGTTCACACGGAAACCAAAAAAATAAAATAATAAAATTACAAAAATCTATGAACCCCTCTCTCCTAAAGTTCACTCGGGTGAACCCCTCTCTCCTAAGGTTCACTATGTGTCGGCCCGGGATTAGTCTAGGTCTTTTTTTTCCTTTTTTTTCTAAAAAAAAAAATCAAAAAGAAAACAGAAAAATTTTAATAATAAAAAACTGATTCAATGAATCCCAAGAGAAGGTTCATTGATGTGGATGCTCTTAGAGTATGTATTTTTTTGAGTGAATTGGCTTAAAAACCAAAACAATGATGAAATTAGCAAATTAATTTTGATGGGACAAGTTGAGTATCTATAAACAAAGTTTACCATTGTGTTGGATTTAGGATATGTAACTAATTATGAGGTTTTGTGTGTGTATGGAGTGCAAGTACACTTTTTTTTTCTTACATCAATTTTAGAGTATGTGTGTAGTTAGATTGGTTAGCTAGAACCGGTTTGTACTGATTTGTTTACTTTTGTAGATAAACACACTGTACATGTCATTTACACTTAATAAAAACTATTATTTATTTTCCTAATCGGCAAATCCTCTTGTGTTTGTTCATCATCAGGTTTAATTAGTCTCTGTCCAGATCCAATCTCAATCCCACTAATATGGTACCAGAAACAATCTAATCTTAGTTTCCGCTTGACCTCGTTATTGCTTTCTCTATTAGCAAATAAACCAATAATATAAATGAGTTAATATATATCATAACTTTCAACAAAACTTGCATCTAGTTGATGCAAGCAAATCTAGTAATACAATATTGAGATGCTCAACAAGTAGCTGCTAATAAACTTACAATTTACAACCAGAGACAAATTCGGTTTTTTGGTTCATCTTAATCAGGTAACTCGTGGTATAAGGTGACAAAATAATGTCACACAGTCACTACTTTTGTATTTTATCTCGCACAAAATAAATGTCAAGTTTGAAGCTTGGGGGTACTTGATTACTTTCAGAGTTTAGATCTTATTTTGTATTTTTGTCAGACTTGTGGGGGTAAGTGTTATTATATTTGCAAATTGGTCCAAAACGCAATAAAAGTAAGCCAACAAACGGCAACGTTTACTCCGTGGTTTGCAGTGGAGAGAATCAGGAGGGAAAGTAGTCCTGAAAGAAAGAAGTGTGTGTTCAGATGTCATACCAGTTGGACCTGTGTAGCAAGCCAATTGCCTGTTACAAAGACAAACAGGTAACTTGTTATACATAGGTATTTGCTGAAAAAAATGATAACAGAAGAGTTGCAACGGCTTACTCTGTGGCATATCCGAGACGCTCAGCCAATGGTGTAATTCCTACTAAGCTCAACAGGAAGACCCATCCCTGAGTCACAGCAAGAATCATTTCTTGTGACATAACAAGACGCTAACACTTGAGTAGCTGACACAACATCCGGCTCACCTTATTATCTGTCAAGTAGTGGAGTAGAATAGCGAGAGGACCGAACGGCAACAAGAGATTGAGTTTATTGGATAAGATGACGATCTCGAAGCTCTGGAGGACGCTGTTGTTAGGTGCTTTAGCTGAGCGGTCTCGGAAACTTGGAGAAGGTGATCCTCCTTGCTCCATCAAAGAAGTAGCTTTTGCTTGTGGGGAATCTGTTTCTCGTCTAGAAAGGCTTTTGCGCTCATTTTCATTGACCAAACCCATCTGTGTAAAATTGTTTCCATTTAGCCAAGAAAATGAGCCAAAATAATTGAGGAAAGAGGTGATCCAACTTACTTCAACCTGGGCGTGAATAAGAGCTGGCACCTTACTACAACAACCCATGGACTCGTGCTACCAAAACATAAAACAAATGTTCTCCCTTCGTCTGGAACCTGGAGATAAAAGCTTCTAAAATGTGAATCACACACAGTATGGAGCAAGAGACCGATCTTTAAAACTTGGGAGCCATTGCTTTACACAGAACAGAAATCATTAATCCAGAACAAGTTTTTTTTTTTTTTTTTTTGTGATTCATAAAACTTGAGAAACAATCATATGCTTGCAATTATGTTTTAATCCAGTTCGAAGCTGGGCGCAAACAAAGATCTCATGACATAAACAAAAGAATTTGGAGGATTGAACAAGTTAGCTGAAAGATCAAACCGATACGGATCAAAACGGTCAAAGGAGTTTACCTTAAGCAGTCAACGAACGATCAGAGAATGAAGACTTGAACAAGTTTGATTTCTTCTTCGTTTTTTTCTTCCGATCAGCTTTTTGGTCTAGAGAAAATCGATGGTTTTGAAGGAAGACAATAATAATAATAATAATAATAGCTTAGAGATGTGTGCTCTCAGTGATTTATGCCTTGCTTTTGATGATAAAGTAAGGATCTCGAGAGATCTCTCAGTAATTGCAGAGTAGAGAGCTTGAGCAAGGAGTAAGGTTCCTTCTCGTTGCTAATTTTTCATCCGTTGAACAAGGCAAGTTTCGCTTTTTTCAAAAGAATATTAGTCGGAGCTTAACAGAGATTATGATTGTATTATTATTTAACTCTTACGTTAATTTAATTTAATTTTTAACCATTCTTTTTCTTTTTCTTTTATTCTGTCAAGCAACAAAAAGAAAACATAAATAATCTATTCAGGCTCAAAATATTAGTTTTCGTTGGCCCTTTTATTCAGTTTCGAACGGTTTTATTTTTGACGTAAATTTAATTCCTAAAATTTTCTAGTAAGTAAAATCTATTGAGTTTGAACCAACTTTTTTTCTTACAAAGTTTACATCTAAAAGTGGAACCCATAGACATGACGTGTTACCATAAGAGAATAGAATAATCATCAACCGCAGCACGTAATCCTATATTATATTTTTATATATATACATATNACATATATCCTTTATGTCCCCCTTTTATTAGATAACCCGACAGGCGAAAGCGGTTAACATTAACCAATACATTACATTTACAAATATGAATCGATACAACAACCAATAAACTGATGAGAGATCAAGCTTATTCTAGTCTACAAAACGATAAGCCGCTTTTTTTAATAATAAATTATACTAAAAATCAACCCGAAAACGGGAATTACAGATTTGATTACAAGATCGACTCGTACAAAATTTCCCAAATCATATCATTCTTAACGAGCTTCGCTCGACCCATATCCCCGGTGCGTTCCGTTAGCTCGGTTTTGTAATCCTTGTGAATCGATTACCGTTCTCAACCATCAATGAGAATCATGGAAATGAGAGATTCACCTCGTTTCCAACGGATGCTCTTCCCATGGTCGCTTTCGGAGTAGCTGGTTCGCGAAGAACTCATCTAACTTGTAATCGCACCGTCTTTGAAACACAAACGAATAAAGATGGGTAGTTCCAAAGAAGCCCTTACCTGAAGATCATCTTGAAACTAAATTGTACTCCCGTTTTTATCGCCTAGAACATTGCAAGAAATCGGGTTGAGGACACAACCACATTGATGGCCAAACAAAACTCAAACATGCACAAGAAACAAAGGCAGCACTACCAACATGGTCAAGGAACCAAGCGCTGGTACTGGGATGTGCTAATCTCCACAAATGGAGTCACCGTCGAGCACTTAGAAGCCGTAGACCACCTCGACCCGCTAAGTACCCTCGCCATTCACCGCTAACGAGAACCGAGAACGGAACAACCTTGATTTGTTTTGAAAATTCCCGGTGACAATCAGAAAACAATTCGCAATGAAAAACAAAGTTCAAACCCTTAGATTCGCCATAAGCCGCCTTTCTGAATTTCAATTATTTGTTAGGAACATAACAGAGTATGTATGCTTACAAAGGCAAGCACATGAACATATTAATTAGAGCCAAGGTAGGGGTAGAAAGAATGACAGCATACCCACCCATCAATATATGGTACCTATCATGCTCTTGAGCCCACCCAAACCTGTTGTTGACTTTCTGATGGCATCTTAACCACATAATATCTGCAATCAGTAACAATGGACACTCAAATAGAGGATTTTAGCTTACTAGAAAATTCATCTTCCGTAAGGAATTTAGCTTCCTTATGCAGCTCACTTCAAACCATGCATGCATGTTATTCATATACAAACGAACTCGATGAAAGCAACCCAAAGGGTAATAACCTTAATGTTCCCGTTACATAATCCTCGAAGCGTAGATCCAATTCTGCAATGGTGAGCAAATGAGGAGATACAACTGTTGATATTAAAACATGGGTTCACTCAAACAGAAGAAGAGACACAAAACTTTCCACTCAATGAAAGCAAACAATGGCCTTACCAATGCCAAGAATGTGATACGTATGATGCAGTGCACCCTCCGATCTTGTATCAGTACAAGCGTGGGGCCCAAAAGAAGTGAAGAGGGAAATGAGGAGTACGAGTTTGGCGCATGAGTGTTGGTACTGGTGGGTGTTGCTTTTGGAAGAATAAAGGAATAACGGTTTGGTGCTGAGTCATCGACAGTGCACGTGATATTGTTGGTCATGAGAAGGGCATGAGGACGTGATCATCAAGGGTAGCGTAGTAGTATAAGTAAGGAGAGAGACTAGGATGATATGTATCAAGTTGTGTGACAGTATTTTCATGAAGAAGAGCGAGAAACTCTTAAGAAAAACTCGTTGTACTTCTTTCTTTTGATCAATAAAACCTCCATTATCTCTTATTCATGTCTTGTTTTTACAAGTTTGATACAACAAAACTGTATCAAATTGGTATCAGAGCCCTCGAATCTGGGAAAAATGTCACCAAAGAAATCTGATATGGATCTTACCGTAGAAAAACAGAATAGTCGGATCGTATTCCTGGAGCAAGGGATGAACGAGGTGAGCGATCTGAAGCTGTCGATGAACGAGATGAAGCAACAGATCGAGCTTATGATGGGTCCTTGGGATCATAACAAAAAGGAACATGAGGAACAAAAGCAGAAGGCCCGAGAGATGGAGAAGGGGAAAGGACATGTGGAGGTGGAGTACGGGTCTATTACCACACTCGGTAGCGGCGTACACATCAGAGGTGAGCGACGCAGACCGATGATGTTCCCTACTCCGATGAAGGAATGCGACGAGCGTTTTGCTAGTTGAGGAGGATAGGGACATGGTTCGGAGTATCACAACGAGTTTCCACCTTGGAGACAGAAAACATGTCGTCTAGAGTTGCCGATGTTTGACGGAGAAGAGGTGGAGAGCTGGATCATCCAGGTTGAAGAATACTTTGACCTAGGTGAGTTAACGGAGGAGGAAAGGATGTGTATCGTCCGAATGAGCTTCACTGGAGATGCGTTGATGTGGTACCGGTGAGAGAGGAGCCGAAACCCATTTCGCAACTGGGGAAAGCTCAAACATTGGGTACTCGAGCAATACTCGACCATGACCGACGTGACAGCGACAAAGAGGTTGCTGACCATCCAACAAGAGGGATCGTTGAAGAACCGTGACTTCATTGGTTTGGCATCTCTCGCACCAGGAATAGATTAGTCGGCGCTGGAGATCGCTTATTCCAACGGGTTGCCTTCCAAGATCTGCGCTGGTATGAAGATGTTTGATCCCCGAAACCTCAATCAGATAATGAAAACGGCGAAGAAAGTAGAGGAGTGGTCCGTAGAAGAGGTGACTGATGGGCCTAAATTGCTTAAGCCCAGTTACGGTTGTCATCAATCCTCTAACAAATCCAAAAACCCAGTAACGACACCGGCCCAACAGTCCATGAAGGCCCATAACCAATCTGGCTCGGGAAATACAAACCAGCGTGGCCACGGGGTTCGTGGACATCCTTCACACGGGGGATTAAAGCTGCCGTTTTGGAGGCTCACGCCGGTGGATGTAGAGAAATGGAAGGCGGAGGGCCTTTGCTTCAGATGCGACGAGAAGTTTCACCCTAATCACCCGTGTCCTAAGGCGCAGCTGACGGTCTTGATACTTCATCCGAATGGAGAGGAAGAAGAATTATTGGATGAACCATGCGAGTTGGAGGAAGAAGGAGGAGCGGTGGAAGCTATGGTAGTTGAGGTCTCGATAAATTCGTTGGTGGGGTTGACTTCTCCCAGGACAATGAAGCTTAGGGGCACGATTGGTAACACGGAGGTGGTTGTGCTCCTTGACAGTGGATTCATGCAAAACTTCGTGTCGGAGAAGCTCCTACAGAGATTGGGGTTAGCAACGAGCTCGACGGGATTGTATGGAGTGTTGGTAGCCGGAGGGGTAAAAGTGTAGGGAAGTGGAATGATTGACGAGAAAGAGTTAAAGCTACCAACTTGTACCATCACGAAAAGTTTCTTACCCTTGGAATTAGGGATTGCTGATGTGATTCTTGGGGTCCAGTGGCTTGACACTTTAGGAGAGATGAGGGTGAACTGGAAATTGCAGAGGATGAAGATATGGTGGAATGAAGCATGGGTTACTATCCAAGGAGATTGGAGTCTGAATTCCGCGTATGTGTCTCTGAAGTCCTTATGGAAAGCTATGGGGACAACTAGAAGGAGTAGCTTTGACAGTGACAACGCAGGGTGGATGGGAGCCGATTTTGGAGCAGTATTATAAGGTCTTTGAGGAACCTATGGGATTACCACCTTTGCGTGGGAAGGAACATGGGATAACATTAGAAGCCGGCCAGGCCTGTCAGTGTGAGGCCATTCTGATATCCCCAAGTCAAAAAAGTAGAGATTGAAAAGCAAATTGCTTCTATGCTAGCAGCCGGTATCATTCAAGAGAGTGGTACCCCCTTCTCCAGCCCGGTGTTGTTGGTAAAGAAGAAAGACGGAAGCTGGAAATTCTGTGAGGACTACCGAGCTCTCAACAGAGTGACAGTGGCTGACAAGTACCCAATCCCCATG